TTGTATGCAACCTTCGACAGATCCTAAAATAATTACTTCCTACTTTTATGAGACAAATTGTTTCCAAGTTTTATTTTTCTCTTGTATAGGAGAGCCTGTTGTTTGCACTATGTATTTAAAATCCTCAGACATCTAGTATTTTTGGTGTTTGGCTTCACTTTGAATTCAGCAGGTGGCATTATGCTTTTCCTTACCTAGTAGGCTGTGCCGTCTACCAACAGTGCCACGCTCTGGTCCCACAGCACAGCCCTGCACTGGACCTGGAGCAGGCAGCTGAATGGCTTCCCACAGCCATGTGCCATGTCTGCCCCTGCGGAAGCCCCCGGGACATCTGCCCTGTGGATACACGCTGTGTCCACGCAAGGCGGAGTGCCGCGAGCTGAGTGGTGGTGGCCATTGTGCCCAGAGTCTCCATCCCTGTAGTAGCTTTGCCCCATTTCTTCAGTGAACTTCCAGCCACCAGGAGTGGCTGCCTCTGTTCTCACTCCTCTCAGTCTCGCAGTCCCTCCCACCCCTGCCTGGATGTCTGAGGTCCTTTGTTTGTATCTCCCTTTTGCCATTTATTCTTCCCAGTATTTTGCTAAGTATACTTGGTATTCGCCTCATTTATTTCTTAGATATGAATTCCATAATAGGACGCAGCATATCTTATTACCCTTCACATGCTACACAGTGTTTCTCCAGGAACTAAAAGATCATTATCAGATCGCAGTCAGAAATGCCATCAGAAACGCTACGCTGAGAGCCTTGCCACATCTACCCCCACCTCCACCCTGGGAAGGAGAGCGTGTAGGCAAGCCCAGAGAACAGGAACTGGGGTTCCCCAAGACTTCCTGTCGCTGACTAACACACAACAACCTAAGGCCGTGCAGCGAAGACCAAAGGGCTCTGGAGGATTCCTGCTCTGCTGTGATCACGTCCTTTGCTACCACGTGAGTAGTATTGTTACCTGCTGCTTCAGTAAACATTTTCATGTGGGCCTCTCAAAAAGGGAGGCATTTGAAAACCATGTTCCAATTTTATTCTCTAAGAACTATGAAAAAATACAGCCTCAAGTCTTGTTTTGTGCCCTGTCATCTAGCCATTTTGGCCACATGAATGTCACTATGATATTCTATTTACAAAGGAATTCCTCTCCACATAGGTCATTATAGTGCAGCAGATGCAAGCTTGCTTCAGATAATAACACAATCTAATAAAAATAGATAATGTTCCCTCTGTGGGGAATGCCTCTATCTGTGACATCTTGAATGCTACAGATCAAAGAGGTAACAAAATGGGGAAATGGGAGAGATGGTAGTGATTATGAGTTGAAAAGTCTAAATGACACAAATGTTATCAAAAGATTAATGTAGGGGGACCTGGTTACAAATGTACAACCTCCTTCCAGTGTGTGTGCTCTCTGCAGGGTTCAAGGAAAATTACCACAGGGAAGATTAGCAGAGGAAAATAATTAAGGGAGCATGGAACACAACACTCCCCTGACGCATTATCAGCTCCTGCTAGAGTAGATATGGGGTCAGGATTCTCAGCGCTTAATTCCACAGCCCAGTGAGATCTGCAGCATTCTCGCACAGATAGCAAATTAGAACAAGTCCTGGCTAATTTTCAGACCCCTGGGAGGCCCCCATCAAGATAGAGCGATGAGAGTGTGGATCAAGCATGGGGAGACCTTCTGCAAGGATGCACTACAGTGCACACATGCAGCCCTGTGCCTCAAATCAGCTATAATGAGGTTTGCACACAGACCCAAAACTCTATGAAAAGTTCTGGCTTAGGGTTCACACTAGGGCCTTCAACACAACATGGATCCCATCGTTGGATGCTAGGCAAAGCAACCGATCTCCCCTACTTAAATGCAGTTCTCTGAATGCGGCTACGTTCACAAAGTTCAGTTGTGATGGCACTATGTACACACACCCCGCCCCCAACTCAGCCATCTCTGCTTCTGTGGTCAAGCCATCTGCCATACTCATTGCTAGAAATCACTGGAAACAACCGGAACACTAGAAAGAGGATCCGCTTTCAACAGAAATGGATCAACCAGGACAAAAAATATTCTTTCTTCTAGTCCTAAAAATAAACCAGCCACCTCACCCACGACCTGGAGAAATACTTTTGCCAAAAATACTCCTACATCACGAACACAGGCAGCATGGTGGACACAAACTCGATGCAGCCCAGATTCCAAGGGCACCCGGTGCTGGGAACACCCAGGGACACTGCACTCTGCAAAGCCTTCTCTGCAGTGCTGGGCAGAAAATCCAGGCTAAACACACGCACGCGGGCAGTCCTTACGTTCAGTCCTAACGCTGACTTTTCCGCACACCGTGCGTGCGGCTGCAGACTGAGGCCGCGACGGCAGCACCAGCCCAGACCTGGCCCTTGTGAATGCAGCTGACTGACTGTGCTGCAGCTTCTCTCTTTCCCACCCATGGAGCCACGATGAAGGCTGTAGATGCCAGCATGGGTCTCCATGCTCTCTGAGATGAGACACAATGTCCACCTCTGGTCTGTTCTCTGTCACCCACCGCATGGAATTCTAACGATCTTAAAACAGCTGTGATTTACACTCTCACTCCTCTGTTGGCCCAACTCGTGATGGAGTTTGCCACATAAGCCTCCAAGTCCGGGCTACCAGCCGCTCGCTGCGATGCACAGGGCTTGCTCGCCGGAGCACGTGGACGGCGTCACAGCACTGACATGGGCTCCACACGCTGAGCATCCGGGCTCCCAGACAGCCACACCACGCTGCGCGCAGGCGTCAGAGCAAGCCGCGCTCACGACCGCCACTCACCCTAAACATGAGAGTTCTCTGCTCGGGCCACGCTGTCAGAATTTTCTCTCTACACGCATTTGCAGGTCCTTTATTTTTCCAATGGAAGGAATTTTACACTGATTTCTAATATTTCCTTACACATTCAGCCTTTCTTTGAGGCATTTCTATATCTGTCTTGCAGTATCATTTTCACTCCTTCAGCCAGTACTATTACCATGTGCTCCCCAAAGGTACGCGTCAGTCTTGAGTTTCGATACGGTACTTCTAAGGATTATTTCTAAATAGCTGGCAGGTACTCAGATGCACAATCAGCCCTGTGAAACCATCTCCAAGATCACCTACAAAAATACGTGTGGGGCAGGTGTGTCACAGTGGATTAAGGGACAGTTTGGGATGTCCATGTCCCACATCAGAGAGCTGGTTCAAGTCCTGGCTACTCAGCTTCCAACCCGACTTTCTGCTAATGTGCCTGGGGGAAAGCAGATGGGGACCCGAGTACTTGGATCTCCGTTACCCATGGAAAAGACCAGACGGAGTTCCTGGCGCTGGCTTCCAGTTTCTGACATAAAAGCACGTTCCTACCTCTGCACTGCCATAGTAATTCTTCTAAGTGGAAAAGTCCGAACCAAGGAGGGAGCTGAGCCCCTCTGCTCTGCTTCTCAGCCATTGTTTTAATGTCAACTTCAGTAAGTTAATCTGGTCCTGATTTCAGACACAATTTATTAGTATTTGTATGGTCTCTGACACCCTTCCTTGTTCCCAGCTAATAGTGGACTTATCCTCCAAGACTATCCTTAAAACTGTATTTCATTCTCTTGAACTTATCCTAGAATAGTCTCTGCTTGCAGACTGAATTTCTTACAGATCGTCTGCTTGTCCGTGTAATTCCCCAAGTCTTCCTCACAGATAGTCTGCTTGTCCGGGCAATTCCCCAAGTCTTCCTCACCGGCATGATTCATTTTTCAAAGTGATTGGTTTTTGAGTTGGTGCTTTCTCAGAGCTGAAACCTTGGCATGATACAGATTTCTTCTTAATTAAAAAAAAATAGTTCTCATCCTCTGCTTCCATTGCTACTCTAGGTCATTTTCCATTTGTGACTATCTACTCCCACAGGGGTCACCAAAGGCCATTCAGCTTGGTGGAAACTTCAGCACGGTCACAGGCAAAGGGTAACTCAAACCATGGTTAAGAAGTGGAAATAAAATCATCACACGGTAGATCATCAATAGCACCTGGCAACCAAGAGCAGGAATCACTCCCGGCACCTGTCCTGGGGCAGGGCGTAACACAGGCTTGACTTCAGGTTGTCACTAAACTTGTCCATACTCATCCCAAGTATCAGGGCAGTGCAACTGTGTCACACACGTGCCTCTGTTCCAGATCAAACAGTTGACAAAGGAGACAGAAGTGACTTGGCAACACTAGCTATCGATCCTGAGGTTAAAAAGTCCTTGCTTTATAGCCAAGCTGCCTTGGTTTAAATTATTGCTCCTTGCATTTAAAAAATTCACTGTGCTTAATTGTTTCAGCTTAATATCCTCTGCATTTGCCCACCTAACTTTTAAATTTGTAGAAAGATAACATGTATAATATTGTTGAAACTGGTTTTTTTTGGACAGGCAGAGTGGACAGTGAGAGAAAGAGACACAGAGAGAAAGGTCTTCCTTTGCTGTTGGTTCACTCCCCAAATGGCCACTATGGCCGGTGCACCACGCTGATCCAAAGCCAGGAGCCAGATGCTTCTCCTGGTCTCCCATGGGGTGCAGGGCCCAAGCACTTGGGCCATCCTCCACTGCACTCCCGGGCCACAGCAGAGAGCTGGCCTGGAAGAGGGGCAACCGGGACAGAATCTGGCACCCCGACCGGGACTAGAACCCGGTGTGCCGGCGCTGCAGGCGGAGGGTTAGCCTAGTGAGCCGCAGCGCCGGCCTGAAATTGATTTTTGTGTGTCGTAAAGGGATGACGTTTGAGTGTGGTTATGTTCCCAGCTCTCTGTGGAATGCTCTTTATGCCACTTAGGAGTTCATTGAATTAATGGATTTCACTTACTGCTCAGATTACAGACAAAATCCCTTTAGAAACTCAAAGAAGTCCTCGCGTGAACCCAACCCCGGAAACCAGGCGGGACTTGGTGAGTGTCCCTCAGAGCACCCACGGCAGCACAGCGCCCGCGCTCTCGCCGCGGTCTGCGCTGAAGGTTCCCGTGTGTTAGAGAAGTTACCGAGACACCGAGTTTCGGTTCCGCTCCAGAGTCCGTTGGCCAAGCACTCTCTGACGTGTGAGCCCACGAGGGTGTAGCCCGTGTTGCAGGTAAATATGGCGGTGGCTCCAAAGACGGTCAGCGTCCCGATCTTGTTCCCGTTGTGGGGGAAGGACAGGCTTCCACAGGATATCACTAGAGGAAAGGGGAACGGGAGCATTAGGAGGGCTGCGGACGACACCGGTCAGCGGTCCCCACTCTAAGACCATGGAGCAGGGGTGTCCGCTCAGGACTTGACTGACCGACCATCTGGAAGCTTCCTCCTCTCATGACCCTGAAGGGAACACGTAACAGTTCAGAGCAGATGCCAGCACACTTTAGAAAGTTTCTAACGCATGTTGTTGCGTTACTTTTTCTTCACCCTCACAGGTAGCCAACCCTTTCCTGAAAAGCATACAGAATTCAAATATATTCCCTGACAAGCACAGCTGTCCAAGGAGCTGGTGATCTGTCCATTCTTCACCCATATCAAAAACACAAGTGATTTACTACTGCATGCCTATGCCTGCCCCTCAGGAAGGAAGGAATGCAAACCATCCTTATCAAAGGCAACCTGCTCAGACAAGGAAGTGTGGCGGTGAAATCTATAACTTCTCACCACTGTAGTAGCGCTGAGTGTTCTTGTTTGTTACCTGCAGCATTTGCATGTCTACATAAGAATGCTGACTGCATGGGAAAGGCAGGACCTCCCGGAGAATGCAAAGAAATCCAGAGGAGCCTCCCTTGGTTGTAGGAAGGGCAGCCCCACACCCCAAGCCTGCCTCACTCAGTCATAGGAAGGGCGGCCCCACGCCCCAAGCCTGCCTCACTCAGTCATAGGAAGGGCGGCCCCACGCCCCAAGCCTGCCTCACTCAGTCATAGGAAGGGCGGCCCCATGCCCCAAGCCTGCCTCACTCAGTCATAGGAAGGGCGGCCCCACACCCCAAGCCTGCCTCACTCAGTCATAGGAAGGGCGGCCCCACACCCCAAGCCTGCACTGGTTGTCCCAGCACAGTCATCAGTCACGTCCATTTCTACCCAAGAAGCCCTCCGGTGAGGGATAAATGAACAGTCGCCTTCATCGTCGAGTCTTGACACCCTCTAAATCTCTGCACTTCAGATCCACAAATGTCTGAGCACAGAAACTCAAAGGTTCCCAGGAGTAAGGAAATCACAAAGTTATCAGGGCCAGAGGCTTATTCGCGTTTGAAACAGGTCTGAGTAAAAGTCTCAGGACGGAGACTCAGAGCGTGGAAGGAGCTGTGATGTGCAAAGTGCCCAGGGCAACACATCTCAGGTCCCCCTTTGTAAGAGTGGTGACAGGCAGTGGGTAATGGTGACGAGAAACACGGAGCCTGGCTGTGCGCTAGCCAGGTTCAGCCCCATCTCTGTGTGGTCTCTGTGCTCTGTGGCAGACTGGCAGCAACACCTGCCACACAGGGTCTGCAATCAAAGCCAGCAGAGCAAGCATGGGAAGCTACGGCTTGTGCGTGGCTGGCTTGGTCAAGGTCGGCTGACTATGACATAACAAATCAGGACCTACCGAGGGAATGGAATCCAAAGTGTAAAGACCGTGCACACAATTTCAGTGCATGGAAAACATGCATGTGATCCGAGACCAGCCCGCGTATTTCGGCGGATTTCATTCCAAGAAGAGACAGCATAGCTGCATTGCTAGGGCACAGACGGACACTGTTGGCTAGGACCCTTCTCCAGGAACCTCGGTCCCGGAGCACAGCATGGCTCGGACACTGGCTGTGGAGAGCTTCCACGGCTCGGACACTGGCTGTGTGTGGGGAGCTTCCACGGCTCGGACACTGGCCGTGGGGAGCTTCCACGGCTCGGACACTGGCCGTGGGGAACTTCCACGGCTCGGACACTGGCCGTGGGGAGCTTCCACGGCTCGGACACTGGCCGTGGGGAGCTTCTACGGCTCGGACACTGGCCGTGGGGAACTTCCACGGCTCGGACACTGGCTGTGTGTGGGGAGCTTCCACGGCTCGGACACTGGCCGTGGGGAGCTTCCACGGCTTGGGCACTGGCTGTGTGTGGAGAACTTCCACGGCTCGGACACTGGCCGTGGGGAGCTTCCACGCCGGTCAGTTTCTGGGATTGCTGACCCACTGCAGAGTTCTTATCTTGTGCCTTTATTGCCAGCGCATCTGCTGCACCAAATGTCAATGAATTCAAGTGGGATTTGGATTTTTATGTTATGTGCTTTTCATTAAGCCTTTTCCCAAACACAGTGTGAACTTCACCTTGATCTGTGATATTCAGAGATCCCTATGTAGCCATTTGTGACAGCTGGATCGATCGTGTCTGGAAACTTCAGTGTTCAGCAGAAGTGGGCTAAAGATGGGGCTAGCGCTGTGGCGTAGTGGGTAAAGCCACCGCCTGCAGTGCCGGCATCCCATATGGGCATGGGTTCAAGTCCCAGCTGCTCCACTTTGGATCTAGCTCTATGCTATGGTCTGGGAAACCAGTAGAAGATGGCCCAAGTGCTTGGGCCCAGGAAGAAGCCCCTGCTCCTGGCTTTGGATTGACGCAGCTTCGGCTGTTTTGGCCAACTGGGGAGTTAACCAGTGGACGGAAGACTTCTCTCTGTGTGTAACTCTGACTTTCAAATAAATAAATATTTAAAAAAAAAAAAGCAGTGGGATACGAGACCCAGACGTTCCCCCTTAGAGGTCTTGACACACCTGTGGAGGACTAGCAAGAAAACCCCTCTCCCTGCTGCCCCTGTCTCTGCCCTGGGCCTGTGTTAGAGACGACCTGCAGAGGGCGCTCTGGAGCGGGTCTCTGGCTCGGGAGAAGCAACAGGGGCACAACTCCAGGGTGTCAGCGGCTGGAGGCCGCGGGAGCCAGGCCTGGACCGCCTGGACTGTACAAGCTGGCCTGGCTGACTGGGAGAGGCCCCCACCGCTGAGACAGCCTCTGCGCACGTCAGGGAGAGAGCTGCCTTTCCATGCTATCTTCTCAGCCCAAGTTTCCGGACCTGCACTCCGTGTTTGCCTCTTTCCCATTACAACGGGATCCATTAAACCTGCAGTGTGGCCTCTGGGCAGCACTTCCTCCGAGGCCTGGGAGCAAGGCCGTGCACACACTCCCTCCCCACAGTGCACCCTCCCCCATTCTTGCCGGGGGGGGGGGGGGGGGTGTTTGGGAAACAAGCTGTTCGGGGCGGGGAGGAGCCTTTTCCTTCAAACTACATCATAACCACCTTGAAATCTCCCACTTGGAAAGAAATCACATCCTCGCATAGTGATCCACTTGCAAGGATTACTTGTGAATGCAGTAAACAAACATCGGCTCAAGTGCAGGTCAGTCCAATGGGTCCTCCCTGGGGAGACCCTGCGAGCCCACAGAATGCCGTGGTGGGCCGGCAGCCGCCCGGGTTGTACCTGGTGGGCAGCCCTTGGCCCCGAGCATAGACTTACAGGCTTACGACGGACGCATTCCACTGCGTGAAACGAGGCTGTGTAGGCCAGTGTCTGAGTTGTATTAGACCTTGAGGGACAGAGCTAAGATCACTCACTGCGTATAAGCCAGAAAGCCAGTAGCAGACAAAGGGAAAATGTCCAAATCTTAAATGGGCTGCGCTCGGGCGACAAGCAGCCCCTAGGTGTTTGTTGTTGGTGGGCAGTGACTTGAGAGTATGCCAAACAGAAAACTCAACGGCAGGTCTCTGAGTGATGCCCAGGGTCCACTCCAACAGTGTGCGGGGAGAGCAGTGCCCACACCAGGCTTCCTAGGATATGGGGCACAGCTCTTGTGGCACACAGGAGGTCACCACCGCCACCCTGCCCATCTCACGTCCCAGTGTGCCGGGGGAGGACAGTCCACATCCAGGCACTGATCTTCAGGATCTGCAATATAACAAAACTCCAATGATTCCCTTATGCCTCTGTGTGTGTGAGATTTTAAATGCAAAGATCATTTTTCCAATTAATGGGTCCTTGTGGTGAATATTTTTTTTGAAAAATATAAACAATAAATATGACAATAAAGAAAAGTAACAAAAATAACAGCCTCCAAGTTTTCAGAAGATCCTGGGCTAGGGACGTGTGTACACACCCTGAAGATTGAATTTTTTAAAAGATTTATTTGTTTATTTAATGGCAGAGTTACAGAGAGCTAGAGGCGGGGGGGGGGGGGGGGTTCCATCCACTGGTTCACTTTCCAAATGGCTGCAATGGCTGGAGCTGGGCTGATCCAAAGCACATTAGCAGGGAGCTGGATCAGAAGTGGAGCAGCCGGGAGTTGAACTGGTGCCCCTTTGGGATGCCAGCACTGCAGGCACTGGTATCACCTGCTACACCACAGCACCAGCCCCTGGAGACTGGATTTTAACACTGCAACATTGTCTCTCAGGGGGCAAGAGTGCATGGAGACTGGATTTTAACACTGCAACATTGTCTCTCACTCAGGGGGCAAGAGTGCATGGAGACTGCATTTTAACACTGCAACATTGTCTCTCACTCAGGGGGCAAGAGTGCATGGAGACTGGATTTTAACACTGCAACATTGTCTCTCAGGGGCAAGAGTGCATGGAGACTGAATTTTAACACTGCAACATTGTCTCTCAAGGGGCAAGAGTGCAGAGATGAGGATGTGCAGGTGTGACAAGTCGTTCTGTGCCCCTCACTCACAGACTCGGGCCTCTCCAGGGACACGAAGGTTTCCTGGAGTCAGCACGAGTCGACGCTGGGTGATTCTCAGACGACGGCACTTGAGTGTCACCTGTGCCATCAGCCGGTCATCAAGGGTCACCTCTTTGGGGCTAACTGGACACAGAGAATGGGAAATCCTGCCCACAGCCCACAGGCAGACAGGTAACTGGAAATGATTAAGTTCTGGGGAGCTCATGGTCGGGACCATTCGGAGGCACAGCACAGCTCCTACGCTGCGCCAGTGGTCTGGCTGCTGGCAGCCTTGAAGTTGGCTGTGGTCCAGGCCGGCTGCAGGGAAGCAGGTGACTTTGTGTCTCTTCTGCGCACCAGCCGCCCCTCCACGGCCCCTGGGCTCATGAAACTGCCTTCCCAGCTAAATGCAGGCAGGAAGTCAGATCGCCCCTGAACTTCCTGCTGTGCACATGCACTTAGGAGAGTGAAGCACACGGTTCGGCTCCTACTGCGTTTCTCTCTGTGTTGGAAAGGTAGACAGGGGGAATGGGAGGTAAACATAACTCAAGAATAAAACAGAAAAAAATGCACTACGGCAAAATGAACCCATGTATTTAGTGATTTTTATTACAGAATCAGCAAATGATGTATTCATGTTAAGGTTCTAAAGACTGCTCCCCTTTATTTGGGGAGTAAGTTTTAAAGGCCCTCAGTGATGCCCAACGTTACAGTGCTTGGCTTTTCTCTGATATTATTAATGGACTGGGAAAGAAGAGGGTTGCCACTGAGGTACTAAACATTTGTCCTCAATGAATGAAAGTAATCATATCACATTTTGAGTCAAAGCTCATGGCTGAAAACCTAAAAACAATGTTACTATTTTCCATGGACAAACATTACAGGAACACTTTAGGTTAACAATTAAATGCGCCAGTGCTGCGGCTCAATAGGCTAATCCTCCAACTGCGGCCCTGGCACCCTGGGTTCTGGTCCCAGTCGGGGTGCCGGATTCTGTCCCGGTTGCTCCTCTTCCAGGCCAGCTCTC